GAAAGAGGCTGGAAAACAGGAATAGCTGAAATATTGGGACTTGGTGGTTTTCTGAGTCCGCAGGCAAACTTTGTAAGCCTTGCTTCTACCCATACATTTATAACGTCACAGTGAAATGAAATAATTGAGACGCTGATGGATTTCACTGTTGCCTCTCATAAATCACTACTAATACATTAATTAAAAACATCTATTTGATGGGGGGAAAGATCAAATACATTAGAGGTACGAAAAAAGCAACAGGGAGCAGGTGACGGGTACTGCAGTTGAAGGCTTAGAAGAGCTGCAGGGTCACAGATATTCCCGGCTGCTTTGTACAAATCAGGTCCCAGGGGAGCAGGCTGTAGGCATAGCTTGTCGGGTGATGGCGTTAGTTAAGGAATATACTTTTCATAGTGTACTTTCCCTTTGTCCTCTACCTGTGTCAGAGCACCATGCGGGCTGGCTATAGTTTCCTCTGTTCGTGAGCAGCGTTGGAAGACACCACAGAGAAATGGGGTTTGGAGACTGCCGCTCTCAATGGCAGGATAAAGCAGCAGACTACTGTTTAACCCACACGATGTGGTTATGCTGCGCTAATAAGTTGTTGTTTCATGTCCGACGACTGCTCTTCCCTTTCCATGACTGGCAAGCTTGTATTTTCCAGTAACACAGAGTGTCTGTGGGTCCTCTTGGAGCTGTTTGCAGAAAAGCCTGCAAAGGCGCTAGAAAACAGGTGTCTCTGAACCACAGGGAGAAATGACGTGGGTCACCTTGCTGTCATGAGCGCGCTCTTGGGTTGCAGGCTGGCATGATGACTTCACAGGTCGTAACAGTGATACTGAGAAACCCATTAGTAGTAAGAAATGTCTTCCCTCCTGTATCTAGCTGCACAGCTTTAGAAGGAAGAAGTTATTTCTGCTTACTAGATGATGGGGAAATAGCACCGCTTACCTAGTGTCTGCCAGTAGCTGCACACAAGATACTGTCCCTGAGTAGGGCTAGAGAAAGCAATCCGAGCACCACAGGAGGTGGCTGGTGATGGGAAGAGGTTGAGATTTTTGTGACGGCAGTGGGTCACCCTGGGTTTGTTTGTATGCTCGCTGCCTGTCGATGGGAAAAGACTTACTGGCTGAATGATGCAAGGCAAACATCTTCAGTCCTTGTGAGGAGCTAGTGATGCATTTCAGCCTGTCTAAAGCTGGGGGTCTACTATATATTTAATGCCGTGTCTGGATTGTGGTTTTCCTCCAGTGTAGTCTGAGTGGTTTATTTCGGCTCAGTGTTTTGCTGGCTGACTCTCCAGTGTGATGCGGTGCTGTGAGACCGACGTTTTTGTTTATGTCAGAACTGGAAGCAGAATAGCTCCATCAGCAGGGAGTTGTGCCTGGGCTAATTAGCCTTGCTTAGTTGACAGTGCTTCTATTCCCAGCATTGCTACCTCTGCGCTGCATTGTGCCGTGGTTTGTAGCTGTATCCCTGGTGTCCTGCGTGAGACCGGCAGTACAGCTTCTTTACTGCTCAACAAATTGCTGTGTCCCATGTAACTGGAAGCATGCAGTAGTCTGGATGAGAGTCAATGGGATTTCCTCCTCCTCTCACACACAGAACTGGTGATGTGTGTTGGGAAGACCAGCGACGGAAGAAGCACCTAGCTCTGCCTTTATGAGGACTGTCGTGTGAAGCAGCTTATTCCTGGCCAGTATTAGGGATGAGCTATCGAAGGGTTTTCTGCTGTCAGAGTTAGCAGGGATTGATGACAACATACAGCCAGTCGTGGTTTAATGGTGTCTTTGTGCTGGGTTGTGCATCCCGGAGGCAGAATCTGTGAATCCTGCTGTAGTTCGTTTGACAGTTGCCGATTGTGCTTGTATGTGAAGGCTTAATACATGTTGGTTTGTTCTAGAATACAACTTGTAGAGCAAATCTCTAGAAGATGTTCCATTTGAGAGGTGACAGTTGGCCAGCCAGAGTTCAATCATGCTTTACCTCAGTCTCTTTCCCCTCTTCTTTCCATCTAGCATAGGCACACTCAAAAGAGAGACCTTCTTAGCCTCTTATCAGGGTGAGGAATGAATCTACATGAAATTTTTCTGCCCTATTCTGAACAGCAAGAGGGGAGGCTGCAGTCAGTCTGGCAAGGTCGTTTTTTTTTTTTTTCCTGTAATAAAACGGATTTCAACTAAAAGGTACAGGAGCTTTCTGAAACCCCTTCAAAACTTCTGCACACCTATAATGTGTATGCACAGAGCTCTGCAGGGCTTTTGGTTTTGAGTTTTTTTGCAGCAGATTTTGTGCTTGGGCAGCTCAGATGGTGGTTGTTGTCTGTAGTCAAAACATGGTCTTGTTCATGGTGACTGAGAGCATTTCTTTTGAGACCGGTAAAGGTCTAAGAATCTGGGCTCGCTCTGCTGGGCTCGTGCGCTGAAGAGCGCTCTTTTTACAGTTCTGTTATAAAGCTTTTTCAGGTAGACGAAGCTTTTTATTTGAATAAAAAAAAATCACATAAAAATCAGGGTGATTTTCATATGAAACTATTCATACAGCCAACTAGACTTCTTGACTGGCATGTACAGTGTGCAAGTGGATCCATGAACTAGAGGTCATCTTAATACTTAGGGGTTTTTTTTAGATACTGTGCAAAATCTGTGCTGCTAATAATAAAAGTAGCATCAGAGCTCCACGAGCGTTTGGCACTCTGTTTGTATGCTAGTATTACCCCCCGACTCTTGATTCTGGTTCTACAGCCCTTCTCTGCGTCCTTGTTTACCACAAGCCCTTCCAGTTCTCCGTGGGATGTCTGGCAGCTGCTGCCTGTCTGATGTCTCCGCTTCCCCAGAGAGGTGGTCGGAGCAAGTGGTGCTCCCCACCTCCTTCAGCGCCCCGTGTCAGGGGAGCCAGGAGTGCTGGAACGGAGAGATCTTGGCGGATCCCAGGAGGGAAGCTGTAGAGGGGGTGACTGTGTTTGAACCCCACCAAATGCAGGGGAAGGGAAGCTGGCGGGCAGAGCTGCTGTGTAGGGGGACCTGAGCAAGCGGGAGGAACAGGCCAGCAGGAACCTCATGACGTTGAGCAATGCGGGGTTATGTATGTGGGACGACCATCCCTGCAGGGAGGGACGTGCAGCCTGGGGCTGGCTGGGCAGCAGCTCTGCAGGAAAGGACCTGGGCTTCCCGCGGGTAATAAACGTGAGTTAGCAGTGCGCCTTCGCAGCCATGAGGGCAAACTGGGCTGCACTAGTGAAGCGTAATCATCAGGTTGAGGCAAAGGGTTGTTCAGTTACTCTGCTGCATTCGGCATTAATGAGGCGACATCTGCAAAACAGTGTCCCGGTTTGGGCACCCAGTTCAAGGATATCAACAAACTGGGGAGAGTGTGGCAGAGGGCCACCAAGGTGGCGGAGGACTGGAGCCCGTAACACAGGAGGAGAGGCTGAGGGAACTGGGCTTGTTTTAGCTTAGAGAAGGCTGAGGGGCAAGAGTCTGAAGCCTTTCACTGCCTCTAATGGGGTTGTAGTGAAGACGGAGCCAGGTACTTTTCAGGTGTGCCCAGTGACGGGAAAGAGGCTGCAGCCACAGATGGCCAGAGGAGAATTTTGAATTGGACGTAAGGGAAGTTCCTCACCACAGGAGCGATTAAGTGCTGGAACAGATACCCAGAGTGGCTGTGAAGTCTCTGCCCTTGGACAGTGTCAAAACTCAATGGACGAGGCCCTGAGCAACCTGTCTGAACTTAAATCATAGAATCATTTAGGTTGGAAAGGACCTTTAAGATCATCAGGTCCAACCGTTCGCCTAGCACTGCCAAGTCCACCTCTAAACCATGTCCCTAAGCACCACATCTACACGTCTTTTAAATACCTCCAGGGATGGTGACTCCACC